AACAAACTTTTGACACTCTTGACGCGCGGCCACGCCCACATGCGCATGTCAATTTTGCTGTTTGCCGTTAATTAAAAGTGCTGTAAAATGCACAAAAGCGAAAGCAAAGTCCGGCGGGGCTGGGTCAAAGGTTTGCTTAACCGAAGACATGAAACTCTTATCGACGGAAACGGAAGCGGCCAACAGACAACGAATAACGGATGGCAGATAACGGATATCGCCTATAAACTGTTGAACTGTGCTTAAAGTAAATAGTCTGGATTGATGAAAGTTTATATCTAAGAATTCATCAACAGGCATTTACTTCAACTGCAGTTTAAACGAAATGCAACAAACTGTGAAATGTGTCTCCAGAAACTTGTTCCATTAGCTAGTGCACTACTCTATAATGATTATGATATAATGAACATATATTTGCTAATTATTTGTCATATGCTTTAACGAGTTTTCTTTCGACAGTTCGCCAGGAGAACGAGCGCAGCATGCGTGAAAATCTGGAACGCACGCTCATGATGAAGAATATGACGGAGTTGAATCTGCAGCGCCAGCAACAGCTGCTGATGCAGGCGCAGCAGCAACAGCAGCAGCATCAGCAGCAGCATCACAAGCCGCTGCAGCTTCCATAACAAACGTTTTACAGCATTTCCTTAGGCAAGAGCAGTTGATGTGCAGGCGAGACGAACGACATCAACTGCTGCTACTATTTAACAACACTGACGTTGTTCAACACTGAAACCCGCAACACCCGCAACCCACTCTAACTCAACAAGTTATGCGCACAATATAGAAAAGGAAAAACTCTTTGTTAACTACAATTAGAGAAGACGCAACGAGGCGACAGTGGATGAAAACAACTATTTAGCTCGTAAAAAAACAATGGACAAAAAACTAAACAGAAATAGCAAATTTGTTTGATAAATGAGCAAATTACAAATACGTGTACTTAGCAGATTGTTAGTCAAAGAAAAAAACACAAATGAAAAAGTGATCCAGTTAAAAAAATAAATAAATAAATTAAAAAAATGTTATTGATAAACAAAAGTTGGTTCGATTGCATTGTAAATGTATTTATTGTCATGCTAAACACACAACAACTGTAATTTTTACGTGTTACGATCTGTTGCCAAATGCCAAAGCGTTTTAACTTGAAGTTTTCAATTTAAGAAATCTTAAAAAATATTTTTTTTTTATTTTAAAATTAATTTGGAAATTTTAAAGTGCAAAAAGATGATGGAGTTATATTGAGAGTTAAGTGTATGTTAGAAATATGTTTATATGTTAAATTATTGTTAATTACGTACTATATGCGAGGGTAGTCCGAAAAGTTGCTGAGCTCCAGCATATAAAGAAGGCAATTTAAGAGCTGTTAAAATGCCTACATTATGCTGTTTATAATATTATTAATAATGTATTATTATATACGAGGGCAGTCTAAAAAGTATTCGTTTATAAAAATGTAAGAACATTATTTTATTTAAATTATTATTATTTTAAATATATTTTTAATTGTTTTAGTTATTCTTATGTTCATTTTCGTGTCAATTGTCTTTAATTAATAGCAGTTATTTGTTTCCAATACCCTTTACTTTACGTTTACCATGTAAGTGCTGTTGTTTTTCTCTCTGTGTATAGAGTATATATAAAAACTAACGGTAAACAAAAGGTTTCGCTAGTTTAGTTAGTTTGCGAATTGGTTTCACTTCCAACCTAATTTACTTTATTAACTTCAGCCAACAGCACAAACTCTACTTGCTGCCCTCCAAAAGAAACTTTTGCGTGGCGCTTTTGGCACAGATGGGGAGGAAAACAAAAGAAGAATATAAAAATAGTTGCTCAATAGTTATGTATATCTGAAACAAAGTTGTTAACTGAAAGTATTTATAAGTAAACAAATAAAAGATTAAAGCCAAGCGTTAAAAGCAGCAACAAAAAACTTTTTGTAAGTCTTAAGTCAAAAGAAGAAGAGAAAAGGTAACTAGCAAAATGAGAAAAACAATTCTCAGTAAAATAATAAATATATAAGAAGAAGAAGAAAGAAAACTAGATTTAAAAACAAGTTAATTTGCGTGTGCCAACGGGCGAGAGAGGAGGGGCAGCTGGCGCCTAAATAATTGTTGTATAGCCTAATAAATTAGTTACTAAAAACATATTGAAAAACAAAACAAAAAGTTACTTAAGTGCAAAACGAGCTTGTTGTCAAATTAATTTTAAATTTAGCTTAAAAAATATAAGTTAAAAAAAAAAAAGAAAATTAAAAGCAAAAGCAAAAATGAGAACTGTTCAAAAGAAAGTGTGCGAGTGCTATATAATGCAAGATATACACATATATATATCATACATATATATATTTGTATGTATATATATGTATACATATATGTCTATATTTATATTTAGTTTGTTTTTACAGCCAGCTGTTAGCTATGCAAATTCTCTGCAAACAGCTTCAATCGAGCGTATAAAATTTTTGTGTTTTCTTTGCGTATTTAAATGCGAGTGTATGTGTGTGTGACTCTGTGTGTGTGTGTGCTTAGCCATGCTGTTGCCAATTTCCATAAAATTTAGCTTAAAGCATATATACCAAATATAGTATGTATATATATATGCACATTCTATCGGTTTCAGCCGCAAAAAGCTTAACAAAAAAAGCTGATTTTCAGGCGCAGTCTAAAAAATATTTTATTTTATTTTTGGCTTCAAACTTTCTGCCTCTTTTATTGAAAACAAGAAGAAAACGAAGAATTGAAACAAGGGAAAGCAAATTGTTGAAGAAATAAATAAAAAAAAAAACAGCTCGAATTTTTGTGTAAGATTGTGCCTAATCGAAAGTGAGAAATATAACAAAATAATAAACAAAAGAAAACAAATTAAATTTAATTAATTAATAATAAGTTAAATTAATTGAAATTGTGTATAACTGACAAAGGGGCAGCTGTTAGAGCTGCAAACAAATTATGAATTACACTAAAATCGATGTCAATAATGTTAACTGCTAGCGACTATTTGAAAACACAAAACAAACAAACAAACTAAAGTTCATATAGTAACAATTAAAACATAACAGTAAATGAAAAGCTTTAAATTTAAAACAAATTCTGAATATCGAATAAATTAGCAAAACAAAGTTTTTTTTTATTTAAATGCGAAGCGAAGTGAACGTAAAGCAAGCTGTTTAATAAACACACACAGACATACAGATACAGAGACAAAACACACACACACACACAGAGGTAGCTGAAGAGCGAGGGGAGAGAGGGGGCGCTTGCAGCTGTCGTTTATAATTCGTTCGAAAATCAATTTAACTGACGACAGAACAAGAACTAAAACCTAAAAGCAACTAATAAATATGCAAAAACACACACACCCACCCACACACACACACACACAAGCCTATACACACATACACACAAAACATCTTTGTAAACAGAGTAGAAGAAAAAGCTTCAATAAAACGAGAAAATGTTTTTGGAAAATGAAATGGAATTTCGCAAAAAATAAAGAAAAAAATACTTTGTAATTGCATTTAACATAAGTAAATTGAAAATAAAATAACACATATATATACACATATATATAAATACATAAATATATGTAAGCGAAAAAATTAATTCAAATTTTTGCAAAACTATAAAAACGGAAAACCCACACAAAAAAAACATTTAGCTAAGTGTATAAAAATCTAAGCTGAATTATTATACAAAAAAACTAATAACAAAAAGTTTGCATTAAAAAAACTTACTTAATAAGCATTAATAAAAAAAAAAACTCTAAAGATTTGAGGCTACAAAAATTGTTAAAAATAAAAAACTAAAGTAAAAGTGTGAAACGAACTCTGTTTAAGCAATTATTTACAAAGTACACGGAAAGAAATTGTAAATAGCGTAACAAGAAAATTTTAAGTGTAATTAAAAAAAAACTAAAAAAAAGAAAAGAAAAACAATAATGCGTAAATGTAAATGAAAAAGTTTGCAAGAAATTAGTTAAATACATGCGCAGCCTATATGTATGTATATCTGATAAATAACAAGAAACTTAATAACTAACTGTGTGCAAGAATTCAAACTTAACTGTTAATTGTTGCTCAAAATCAAAAAGAAACAAATCAAACAAAAACAAATACAAAATCAAACATTTGAACGCATTCGGCGTTTTATTCATCAAACAATGTTGAATTCAGAACTATAAAGCAGTAAAAATAACATTAAATTTAAATAATAAACAAACAAAGAAGCAGCTAAATTGTGTCACCTGTTTAGTATATCAGTATTTGTAACTGAAACAAAACAAAAGGAAAACTCTTGAAAATGCGACGAATCAACTTGAACAAACATGAAAAACAATGGAAAAATAAACGGAATTTTTAAATGGATATTCAATATGGTTTCTTTTTTGTGGGGGTAACAATGTGCAAAATTCTTTACAAATCCGCTAATTGTTAATTGTCTTAAATTATATATTCAATTCGTATATTTTTGAATTCAAATTTGAATCGAGCGCCAAATTTTTGTGCTGCCATATCAGTTAAAACTTAACAGTGAGCTAATGACTTAACATTTTTGCTCCACATGCAGCCAATTCGCAGTTTCTTTAACCGTTTACACGCACTGAATTTTACACATAATCAATAAAGCTAATGCTGTAAGCTGCACTCGTACCTTAAAGTTGTAACTATTTCCTGAAATGCTGTTAGTTGTATACAGCGCAGCGAATATTTAAAATGAGCACCAAGACTTTAAGCTATCCTTGTATTTTAAATCTCGCGCGCTCTAAATTGCTGGTATCGATACCAGAAAAAATCTGCAAACATTAGAGATGAGCAAAAGAAGTCATGCCATGAACAGCAGTCGAAGCTTAACATACTTATCAGTGCGTAGCGGCTGAGCGCTGAGCGCTGTTAATAACAGTTTGGCTGGCGGGCCATTATCACAACAGATTGACAAGATAGCGTAAAATGTTTTTTTAACATACGAGAGAACCAGATGAACGACGGTCACGGCCTTTTTAGTTCACACAGGTTTAGTGTATCGCTCGATCGAACTTATTCGGAGCTATTCGGAACGAGTCGACACAACGCTAGCAAATAGCCTGTTGCGCAGAAAATGGGGAAACGCAACACAAATTAATTAGCAATTAACGTGCAGTAAATAAACTGCAATACGCGAGTTAAACAAAAGCATTCGGAAAACGTATAGGAAAAATCCAAACAAACTAAATAAACAAACACGATTCGAGTAACGACAACGCAGTCACTTGCCGCAGCAAAACGAAACAGAGAAACAGAAGCAAAACAGCAGTAAAACAAGAAGCAAGTCGCGCACGGCACAATTAAAATAAAAAATATATGAAATAAAAATATAAATATAAAATAAAGTTTATTTTTGTGTTTTTAGGCAACTGTCGCGTGATCGTTTCTGCGCGCCTGTGTGTTGTGTGTGTAAAAATATTTAAAAACAAAATCTTCTGCGCAGACAGACAGAAGCACAGGGCTGGACGCAAGGGGCGAAACAATCAAAAAGCAGCAGACAGATAAACAACAACAGCAGCAACATCAACAGCTAAAACAACAATAACAACAATAATAGCAGCTGTAGCTGTAGCTGTGCTCGGTGACGCGGCGCGAGGTGCTCGTCGAGGTCAGTTCAGCACATTTCGCGCACGGCCGTTTTGTGCGTTCGATCGCCGCCCTCACTCCGTTCCTGGACCGTACAACGACCACCCGCGATTCTCGACGAAACAACATAAAAGCATCAGCAAACACCGAAAAAAGTTAACAGACTCACGCGCAACTCTTTTTAGTTTTATTGCTTAACTGATAACCCGAACTGGCTGATAAATATCAGAGCGACAAAAGCAATAATAGCAACAGCGACAACCACAACAAAAAGTGCTGTGACAAATTATTGCAATTGTCCAAGCCCCAAAAGCTAAGTGCGAATGCGAATGCGCCCTCAATTTGTATGCCACACACACACGCACACACATAACCATTCGCTTAGTTATTGCCGAACGCCCGCTGACGTCAGTCGGGTGGATCGTTATCGTTATCCGAAAATGGTGATACCGGGGCCAGAGGGGCCCAGCACAGGCGCCATAACCACAGCCGGGTTCAATCGTACCCCCTTGACTGAGCTAAGCTCCGAGACGCGTCGCCAGCTGGCATGCATGCTCAATCGCAAGAAGGTGCTGCGCTCCGAGGAGGGCTACGAGCGGGATTGGCGGGGTATTGCCTCCCTATCGGGTCAACGTGGCTATGTGGACGAATTTGCCAACATGCCCATGGACCTGGTGCTCAATAGCTGGATCAAGCATAATCCGCAAACGGCCGAAGTGGGACATCTAGAGCAATTCCTGGGCATCATCGATCGCTGGGATGTGCGCGATGACATACAGGAGAATCTATGTAAGTAGCAGAGTGGGAGAGAGACGAGGCTAAGGGGAGTGAGGGGAGGGAATAAGCCCGTTTACTGTTACATCTTTGCAGCCAAGGATACAGATCGTTATAATGTAAAGCAACAGCAGCTGGAGCAATTGACGCCCACGCCCACTGTCAAGTGTGTGGAGCGTAACAACAATAGCTTAGCACGCGATGTCAATTTGCTGAGCATCGATGATGAGAAATGCTTGCAAAATGGACAGCCGCTGCCTCGCTACAATGCCTGTGTGCTGTACGCCGAGGCGGACATTGAGCATGCGACGGACATCATGAACAATCTAGAGTCTCCGCCCTACAATCTCAAGGTAAGCCAATCTATATATACTTATGGTTATATATAGTATCTATTAATCTATTATTGTAGCTCTTCTTGCGACATCGGGATCTGCTGTTGGGCGTGCCCTTTGAGCATGTCGAGCTGTCACAGTTCATGGCCACGCGCTGCAACCATTTGATCGTTGTGCTCACCGAGGAATTTCTGAAGAGTCGCGAGAACACGTATCTGGTCAATTTTACACAAAAGCTGCAAATCGGTAAACACTTCTTAGATAATCAGTTAATTCGAGCGCTAATTGAATACTTCTAGAGAACAACTCACGCAAGATAATACCCATATTGTACAAACACAACATGACTATACCCCAGACGCTGGCTATTTATACGCATGTTAACTATTCGGATACATCTAGCTTGTTCAATTTCTGGGACAAGCTGGCACGTTCGCTGCAGGATGTGGATGCTGCGTCCATTTACAGTGCCAATCAGCAGCTGCTTACGTAAGCGCACAGCTCGAACTCTGTATCGAAACTGAAATTAATTGATTAAATCTTATCTTAATACAGACCGCCGGCAACGGAAGCGCTTGCTCAGCCGGAAACGCCGCGCATCTTAATCAACGATGCGGACGTAACAGACCTATCTGACTGGAATCTAAACGATACAAAGCTCAAATCCATGTCGGGCAATACGACGGCGCCGTTGCCCGAACTGAAAATCAAGCGCAAAGATAAAATTTTTCAAAAACTAACGCTGAACTTTGGCAGTGCAGGCAAGCCGCTGCGACATGCGCACTCAGTCAGTGCCATCAATATGCAGGAACAGCAGAACACACTGAACGCTAGTAACTCCAATCTATCGACCTATTCGGAGAACAAGAAGCGCTCCAACAAGTGGAGCACCAAGCTGCTGAAGAAGTTTACGCGCAGCAGCACAAAGCTGCAAACGCCTTGCTGAGAGAGAGCGAGAGACACAGGAAGAGGCAGAGGCAGAGGCAGAAATAGGCAGCTGTGCAACATGTGAATTTCCTTAAATTGCGCCCCATTTGTGGGCATGCAAACATCATCAATCAACCAATCAATCAGTCAAACAAACACAAACCATCCTTCATTTGATAGTGATTATATACTTAGCCCTTACAACCTAAAACCTAATCAAGCCAACTAACTTAATGTATTTAGACGCACTTGTTAAACTATGTAAGTCAAACAACGAATAAAGACAATATATATACATATACACGCACACACAGACACACTTACCAACTCCTAAACGCCGATGTAAATTTATAAAAACCTAAAACATATGTAAATTTATAAAAACCTAACATATAAAAACAGTAAACAATAACAAAAGCAAACGTATTGGCAAATTGTAAGGTTAATCGAGGCACACACACGCACACACATGCAATTAGCTATTAGTCACGCGTCTGATAAGTGACTTACTTAATTCAATTAACGAACAGAATGTGTATATAGTGAGAGAGACAGACAGAGAGAGAAAGAATGAGAGATATGCATTCTCTATATAATGTAGCCGTAACAAATATCAACTGGACGACTGTCTGGCAAGAACCAGAAACAGACTAAGCAAATGATGAATAACATTAGATATATGTTTGTGTGTATATGAAATTGCTGAATAATGGTAATATGTACTATACAACAGCTGTATGTGTGTCTGTGTGTGTAAGCGATAAAGCTTTCATCACATTTTTTGTTTAAGTAATTGTCGCAAAGTGAAGCTCGAGCAACGTTTTATGCCACACACAGTTAAAATACACATATATGTTTATATGTAGATAAGTCACGCGGTTCTAATATAACTGTCAAGTGTTATACGCTCATATGTATATTAATATATATATATATATATGCAATAAGTCGCGTGCTTTGTACTTATAACTTAACTTGAATTAGCTCGAAATGTGCCAATAAACCTTTTAATATTATGCACAAATGTACTATATGTACTATATATACTATATATATAAATATATATATATAGATATAAATATATATGTATTTATGCATATATATATGTATATATACTATATATAACTTTATAGTTAAAAGTCAAGTTTATTTGGTTTTTCTTGTTAAGCAAAGTTTGTTGTTTTTTTATCGTGCAATAATTAAGTTTATAAATTGCTTTCTCACGTGTGAATACCCCGAGTTCATTTCCGTTTGTTGCTTAATAAATTTGACTCAAATTTTGTTTAAATATTTTTTGTTTTTTTTTTTTTATTTTTCATTTTATTGTTTAAATCGCTTCATAAATAACCTTTTTTGTTTTTTATTTTCATGTTCTTCTTGTAATCGAATTTTGTTATTGTTTTTTTTTGTGAATGTTTACTTTTAGTCCAATTTGTTATGAATGTTTATGTTGTTGTTGTTTAGTATTTGTTATTTAGACTTTTGCATGTTTTTCTTTTAAATGTTTTATGCATGCAGTACGTGTGTGTGTATGTGTTTGTGTGTGTTTTATAATTATAATAACTTTTTTACTCCTTTTTCCTTTTTTTGTTTTTTATGTTTGCTTTACATTTACGTTTTGAACAAATGTTTTTTGTTGTTGTTTGTTCTGCATATTAAACTTTGTTTTTTTGTTTTGTTTTTTTTTTTTAATTGAATTGTTTTTGTTGTTATTTATTTATTTTACTCTGTTTCTTCATTTTGTGTATATGTATATTTTATTTTATTTGTTTTTGTTTTTCTTTTTCGTTTATTTATTAAGTTTTTTATTCGCATTTTTAACAAAATTAATAAAAACAATTTCCATTTTTTTTGTCACTTACTCTTTGTTTAGTGTTTTTTTTTGTTTTTTTTTTTTCTGTATATATGTTAATTGATCAATTTATTCGTAATTTGTAATATTAAAACAATGTAACGTATAATCCATTTTTTTTATTTTTTATTTTTTTTTGTGCCTTGGCCACGTTTTTCCACAACTCTTTTTCGATTTTCCCTTCTGCTTTTAGTGTTTATATATATTTTTTCGCTTTTCATTTTGTTTTTCTCTTTTGGGGTCTTATATGATTTGTTATCTTAAAAATCTAACTGATTGCATTTATACAGAGTGTGTTACGTGTTAGAGTTAAGTCGGATTTACGTTTTATTTTTTTCACTTATGGATTGGCTAAAAGATAAGTCGAGGATTGTGTGTGTGTGTGTGTGAGTGTTAAACTAGGAGCAATTTGTTAGATATATATCTTAGGATATATCTTCTATATAAACAAAAGAGAAATGTTCAAATGAAAAACGTCTGTGTTAAGCGCAATTCTTTATAGTTAAGTGTTAACAATGTTTTTGTTTATGATTATGGAAGTCAGTTATATGAAGAAGTCGGTATTTTCAGTATTTTTTTTTTTTTTTTTTGGTATGGAAAGTTTTTTGAAGTTTTTGTTTATGCGAGAGTTTTCTTATTATAAATGTAATGCAAATGTTAATTTGTTTTTGTTTTTTTGAGTATGTATAGTTATTTGTTTTTTGTTTATTTTAATTTGTTTATATGTATATTTATACTTCTGCTTCTTCTGCTACTTCTCATCTGTTTAATCATCATTCTTATATCATATATCATTCTTTGCACGTTTTTCTTCCTCTTTGACTTACTAATAAATTAAAACAACGCTAATGAATTCGTTTTTCTTCTTGTTTTCTTTACTAATTGTGAATTGTTTTATTTGTGTTTCTCTGCTAACTTTCTTTGTTGTATTTATTATCAGTTTCTGTAATCAATTATCAATTCGACTCGATGCACACACACCTTTTGGTTCGTGCTTATCTATATAGAGCAGAGTGACTATATGTGTGCCAAATGTGGTGCCGCAGTCAGGGCATAATTCATCACAATCAGACGACGAGCGTTACGCGATAGCTGATTAGCTATGACAGCTTAACGGAGTTACTCTAGCTATAGCAGCAATGGCTATATTTGATTGGAAATGTTTTATTTGTTTGTTAGGAATTTAGCACAGATATTATGAACGCTTATCGGGGCACTCGATATATATATGATTATATATAGTAAGTTCTCCAGCTGAAAGGGTTTCCATAATATCTGTATTGTTTTTCTATTCAAGTACCTTCGCTTTGAACACTAACAAAACTGAATGAAGAATGCGAATTATGATCCGAATGAATTGAAGGGAAATTTTTCATTATTGTTTAACAATTTTCTTTCGTATCTTTTTTTAATGTTGTTGTTGTTGTTGGCAGTGTTTCATTTGTATGTAATATGCTATACTTCATTTAGACATACCTTTGTAAACTCTAATCACACGCTGATATTTAAAAAGAGCAACATAAAAGTTAGGGGTGTAGGTGTGTGTGAGTGTGTATGTGTGTTCATTGCTATATAAAATGTTTTTGTTTTTTCGGGTGATTCCTTAACTTGTTTTTTCTTTCTTATTTAGTTGCTACAATGTTTAGTTTAACTACAGTTAATTACGTCATCATCATTTAGCCTGATGATCATTTTATGCATTTTCGTTTCATTTTCAGTGTCAATTTTAAATTTTCATTTTCATTTTGCACTTTTCGTATAGATTTAAGTGGTTCAATGCCAAATGTTTGTGTTTCTTTTTATTTGGCTGGTTGTGCGCGATTTTTCTTTAACGTTTTACAACACTACAAATAACGGCAGTTTTGAAATGCTGATTCGAGAGGGAAAGTTTAATCTTATTTATCATTTATCTCATCCATTCTTTCTTTACTTATAATAGCCTAATAGATGAATAGAAACAACATATATGGAAGCCATGGAAAGCAACTGCAATTAAATATTTGGGTTCTTTTCTATAGGAATATACCAATGTGCTCTATAAGGAATACAACTGAGGAACTACACAAAGTATACGCATATATATATATACACATATAAGCATATATAGTGATACATACATACATTGGCATGCAGTTTGGCACGCTAAGAGCTGATTGTAGTTGGCCTTTGTTATAGATTTATACAGATAGATCTATGTCTATATATATTTTAGACAGAAAACTCTCTAGAACGGCACAGATAAGATATGTTGCGGATAAAAGATAATATATATAAAAGAAAATGTGTTACTAATATAGGTTAAAATGGTTTTTTGAGTTCTACTTTGGTTTTTTATTACATCATCACGAGGGTAGTCCGAAACGTTGTAGTCCGATTTAATTTAAATTTACATTTTTGTCTTTTGTTCGATTTTTTAACCGATTTTTTTTCAAAATTGCGTTTAAATAAAAAGTTCTCTCTTTTGCCGTCCGTCTGTAGAGCTTTCACTGTACCCACAAGCCATTGTTTCATTGTTTAGCAATTGGAAAAATTAGTTTGCATTTTAGGGGACTTTTCTTTTCGTTTTTACAACTAAATAAGGCATGCGCTAGGCTGTTTGGCACACAAATCAATCGATAACAACAATAATTATAATAATCATAATGATAATGTTAATGTTAATGATAATGATAAAAAATAAATAACAGAAATACCTTTTAGTTTATATATATATATACATATACATATACATATATATATATGTGCTTTATATCGCTTATCGCTTACAACTTTTTTGGGAGTTGTTTCCCGGCCAAAATGACAAATTCGCTAAATGCTACGAAAAAACATTTTCGTTCCTATTGGCTGCTGGAATTTGTTATCCTTATTCTCTTTTTTGTTTTCTATATATCCTTTATGTTAATGTTGTTTCTGTGTTGCTTTTGTTATTCACTTTGTTGCTTACTTCACTATTGTACAATGTGCTGTCGCCTTTCTTGTGGCTTTTCTTTGACTCTTAATTTTCTCTTTCATATTCATATTAAGTTTTCTTTTAAATGAGTATGTGTGTGTTCGGTTGTGTGTGTGGGTGGCGGGGACGTGGCGCGTGTCCTGTCTAAAATGCGCTTATTATTGATACCATTCTTTTTTCGTTTGCCATTTGCAATTAAATGTTTATTTATGTAAGTTTTTGGTTGTTTGGTTTGGTTTTTGTTTTTGGTTGCTTTAAATTCTATCCTCTTCGTCTTCCTCCTCGACCTCCTCGCCGTTCTCCTCGAGCTCCTCCTTGTAACCAGGATGCTCGGATATGGCATAGTAGTTGCCATTGTAGATGACGCCCAGTTCGCGCAACGCATCGCCGCGTATTGTCGCCTTTATCGTCCAGTTGTAGCAATCATCTGATTCCGATTCACGATCCAAACGCTCCACATCGAGTATCTTGGAATTGAGACGCTCCAGTATAATGCC